ATTTCCTAATAGCACTCTCTCTGATATCCATCACTCCCCAGCGATGTATTATTTTTTATATATATATTGATTGCATCTTTCACCTCCTCTATTGTTGGAAATCGTCAAAGTGCACAGTCAGGTTGTGCATGTATTTCCTCATAGTGTCCTCCAAAAATTTTCTCTGGTTTATCTGTTAATTCACTTGTGTGGGGGTCTGCTTGTTGTTTAAATATGTTTAGCTAACAATTTAGCTTCCCTTGAGTCTGCTTCATAGTCATTTGTCTCAGGAACTTCAGTTTTTTTCAATCTCATCTAGTAACATGTAGTTTATTTTTGTTTTACCTTGATTCTTCACATCCTGGCTGTGGATGACTAAGTGTTTTTATTGGATTTAGTAGCAAGTTCAGTTGCCTTCACCCTGGCTAACAGAGCAAGAATAATTTACTTTATCTCGATGGAAAATCAACAGCTTAATGAGACATGTCAAGTTGTCTTGAATTGATGAAGCAACACAACAGATGAATTCTTCACCTCACCGAGACTAGATCTTGAAAATTTTCTGAGCTAAAGGAGAGACACTGTAAAATCAGTTTTTCCTGTTGTCTGTCGTGGGGATTTTGGCCGGTTCCATGCTGCAACTGAACCTCTTTTTAGCTAATTCTGAACAATGCAATGTACCTGCTTAACTTTGCATTTGTTGATTGGCCATATTTTGCTGCATAATTCTGGATTGGCAATATTTTAGCGCACTATCCATCCTTGCTGTCCAGCCTCCAAAGGTGAGGATGCTTGGTTGATGTGGAAACCTTTCTCCCTCACTATTGATGTTGCCTACTCTTCACTACAGGTGACAGGGTTTTCCTGCCTGAGCTTTCTCTTATCCTCCTTGAGGAAATTCATTGCTTCCTCCCGAGGTCAATGGGAAGTAAGACAGTGTTACTGTAAACTCATACATCACACATTTTAAACCAACACTGAAACACCAAAACCATATGTTTTTATTACAGATTTAAAAATCATTACAATTTCACTTAATATTAATTTATTATGAAGTCTGATCCCACAAATAACAAATTAACAGTTTGACTTAATCATTATAAACAACATCTCTCTTTACTGCAACAATAAAAGAGAGAAACGTCGACAAGTCGACGTCTATTTCTGGCCTTCAGACCCCACACTACCCATAACTTACATTATCACCTGTATAACAAAGACTCATTTAATTTAGCATCGAAGCACACCTCATCCAAAAAGTAAGAAATACAATTTGATATAATAGTTATATATCTCTACTAGAGAAACCATGAAACCTAAAGCAATCATCTTATCAATATATGCTCTTCCTCAATTTATTCTTTGTCACAGATTTTTTTTTGCAGGAACACCAAGAGATTTCAGACTGTCCTCAATCCTTCCTGAACAGACGGGAGGTGTATGGACTCCAGATGAGGTCACTGGATGTATGCACACCCAGGTATCTGTAGATGGATACCACCTCCACAATTGCTCCTCTATTGCACAGGGGCTGAAAAGGAAGCATTGTCCCTTCTGAAATCCACCACCAACACCTGGGTCTTCTTGGTGCAGAGGCTATTTTCTGTGCACAACTGCAGAGAAAATAGCTTCCCCAGTGGTGTCTGACTGCTCACACACCACTGTACTACAGTGGTGTATTTACAAAGTCTTTTTTTTTTTACAAATATCGCTCTACTATCATAATATTGTGCCATGCGTTGGCTTTCATAAAATCTTTTTGAAATTTCACTGGTGCTGTTGGTTTTCTGTCAAAGTGCTCCAGATCACTGATTTTTTAGATGAAAGGTGTTGGGTCTAAACCTAATCAAACATTAATTTAAGAACTAATGAGAAACAGTTAAAGATTTTAAATGCAATAGAATTGAACAGAGAACCAGCCCAGGAACAACTCCTCATCTTTGTCTCCAGACTAGTTCTAACGCGCTCCTTTTCAACTGCATATTTATTACACTGAAGTGTTGCTTAGTTACAAATCATTTGCATAGAAGGAGTGGTAAACAGTGAATACAGCTATCACATTTCAGTCACAAATCTTTGTTGTCCGGAGGTGCAGTTCTCATGTGCATCTCCTGAAGTTATAAAAACATTGTTGTTTGTTGTCTCTCTGGGCCGTTTTGCTCTGGCCATGTCAGCTTTTGTCTCCAGGCCATCTGTCTCCCAATTCGGCTCGCTTCCTGCTGCTAGAAATATCTTACACAAAGAACATCCATTCCAGAACAGACAGAATCCTTAACGGTATACCAAAATATACCGTTTAGTATTTATATCTAATTAATTTAAATCCATCAAAAGGGGATTCTCCATTCATCTTCTTGCCAGTTTTATGATCTGATCACCTTGCACATACCCCGTCTCTCTCATCCGCATTTCACTGTGAAGGTAGAGATGCAACTCATGGCATCGATGAAAAAAGATCAATCAGTATTATGAGTCATGCTTCGAACATTTTTTCTATACCTTTTTACAGTTCCTGGAATGTACTGTCCAGACCAGTTTTTTGAGTCAAAGAAAGTTGGCTCTGAGGAACAGATTTCTATTTGTACCTGTTGTTGACACCAACACAACACACACTAGTTCAGAGTCCCAAACTATGAAGACTTCAGCTTGACAGGAGAAAAGTGCCTAAAAGAAATAAGATTTTCAGCTCCATGTTAAGATTAACCTTGTGTCTAAAATAAGTATTATAGTACATTTTTTATGTATTAGCTATGTTCATCATACTCAATGCAGAAAGTTAATGACAGTCAATATGTTTGTTGTCCTCCACGTGCGGCTGACAAAATTTAAGCTAAGATTAGGATTTTAGCAAATGCTATCTTACACTTTAATGTTTGCACACTAAATGGAGTAATCAATGTTAGTTAATAGTTAATATCTTGATTCCCCAGATACTAATGACTACATTTTACTAAACCTTATTGCTATTTTTTAGCATCAGGGTCCTGGATTCCATCTAATACACACACTTTGGCAGGCTTTTTTTTTTAAAGTCTTATGATCCATCTTTTCTTTTCACTACATACTTATTCACTGCCATAGTTAATTGAATAATGGAGCAAGAAGAGCAACCATGTTCAAAAAAACAAAATAAGTGCAGACTGATTCCTTAGCAATCCAATGTTTGACTCAAGAAATAAGATCAGTTCCTGTGGTCTGACATGTTTAGAACTTTTTTATTAACTTATTTTATTCCTATTTTAAAATCAGAAATATAAAGTGAACTGAACATTTTAGCTCCAACAAATTCAAATGTGAGTTTTTAGCCTCACATTCAACCTGTACTCGACCGGTACAACATAGTATGATGTGAAAATTATTGTGGTTCACCTCAATGTGAGATGAGCAGCCAGCAAGAGGAAAAGGAAACCTGAATCAATTGTTTAGTGTTGTGACAGTTCTGCATCTCTTTCACTCAATGCAGTTTTAAAAAAACAACAGAAAATTACTTAAGATTTGTTTGATTGTTTTTTAATCATGTGTGATCTACCATCACACATTGGTAGATGGATCAGTATACTCTTCCAGTTTGTCTTCTTAATTTGAATGAGTGCAGAATGTACATTTAGCTGTCCTGAATATAATTTAAGGGGTTACTCAAAGTTAAGGATTTGTAGTTTACAAACAACAAGAAAAAGATTTTGTATTTCAATTTATGGGGTAAAGTTATGGAAAAAGTTAAGTGAGGAATTAAAACAAAGTCAAATTTTAATACAATTTACAAGGAAATATAAAGAGGTACTTTTCACAAGATATAGAAATATAGGTGAGAGTTAGCACTAATGTGTTTATGTAAATTGAGGCTAACATATATGTGTGGGTATGGATGTATATATTTAGATATATGGTAACCCAGATAAAATGGAAAATTAATTAACCTGTTTATTTTTATTTTTGATTGGATTTATAAATGAGGGTCCATCTGTTTATGGGGTAGAAGTTCATAAGTCTCTGACTTCTCCCTTCTCCTTTTTGAACATGTTAAGATTACTGTGTTACAAAAATATGTCTTTTGCATTCCTTGTTCTTGTGCATAATTTCATACTACTGTCATGTGCGAAATATAGTTTACTTTCAAGATTCAAGTTCTATGAGCTCTAAAACTTAATGATCTTTACCTTGTGGAGGACTAAACATTTCTTTTTATTATTATTTGATGTAGCAATAGCTGCAGTAGTCTTCACTCGGGTATGAATAATTTTCTTTGATTCGATGGAGCAACAGCTTCAGAAATCAGAAGAATCGTGGTGGAATCCCATATGCAAAGGATGCCCGTTTCCTGCGAGGAAACCTTTCTGTCCTGTCTGAGGATTCTGTGTTGATGTTTTCCTGTGATATTCCTGGAGTATTCCACACTTACCACTGCAGTTGAGCCTTTTTTTAAAATCTCATTTGGAACAACTGGGAGGTCCCCTCTTATGTTATTTATTAATTGAACGGATTTTGCTGCATAATTCTGGATTGGGGAGATTTTAGTGCACTGTCCATCCCTGCTGTCCAGCCTCCAAAAGTGACAATGCCCGGTTGCTGTGGAAATCCTTCTGACAAACTGTGGACACTATCTACTTCTAGCTGATAGGGCTTTCCTGCTCGAGCTTGCTCTTATCCGGCTTGAGAAAACTTTATATTCCCTCTCTAGGTCACACTAAAACTCTTAGTTACACTGTAAACTCATACACCACACATTTTAAACCAACACAGATTCATGCTTTTATTCACAGGTTGAGCAATCCTTGCATTTTCACTCATTAGTAATTGATTAGCCAGTCTGACCCTAAAAATAAAAAATCAAAAGTTTGATTTTATCATTATAAACAATATCCTGATTACTCCAATATTCAAAGAGAGAAAAGCAGACAAGTATATCTATTTCTGGCCTTCAGACCCACATTACCCATAACTTATATCACCACATATTTAACTAAGACTCATTTAATTTAGCATCTAAGCACATTTCACCCAAAAATATAAATTGATAAAGTTTATATTTCTGTTTAAAAAATCAAGAATCCTGCAGTAAGAAACTATAATTTGGTAGAGTGTTTTTTTTTAGTGCTGCAAAAAACAAACAAACAAGCAAAAATAAAAAATCAAAAGTTTGATTTTATCATTATAAACAATATCCTGATCACTCCAATATTGAAAGAGAGAAAAGCAGACAAGTATATCTATTTCTGGCCTTCAGACCCACATTACCCATAACTTATATCACCACATATTTAACTAAGACTCATTTAATTTAGCATCTAAGCACATTTCACCCAAAAAGAAAGAAATATAAATTGATATAGTAGTTATATTTCTGTTAGAAAAATCAAGAATCCTGCAGTAAGAAACTATAATTTGGTAGAGTGTTTTTTTTTTAGTTCTGCAAAAAACAAACAAACAAGCAAAAATAAAAAAACACACACAGACAGATTATTTCTGTCTTACTCAGAAGACCAACCCATTTTTGGTCTAGTGCCATGATCCATGATTAAAGTAGACATGACAACAAGGACTGAGTCCATCTCACTCGACAGTGCTCTGTGGCTGAGTTTCTTTTGCAGGAACATTCAGAGATTTCAGACTGTCCTCAATCCTCTGCAGTGCATTGGTGACCTAGATGACACAAAGCAAACAATAATTTAACCAGTTGCAAAGACAATGATGAAGAACGGTGGAACATTTATTCACAATTTAATCCAATATAAAAGATTAATTAAATCAGTTAACAACCTGTCCCTCTAGATCGGCCATTCTATTCAGCAGTTCACGGAGCTGTGTTTTCTCTTCCGTCTTCTGCTGTTCATTTAAGGTGGCAACTCTTAGCAAACAAACAAAAGTAACATGAGTGACTGAGATTTAGATTAGCTGCAACTGACCTAAAAACTGAACTTTCTTTCAAGGTCTATCTTAAACAAATTCTGTCATTTACTCACAGTCTGTTCAATAAAACACATTATTCACAGAGTAAGCAAATATTATAAGTTGAAAACATTTTACATGATAGACAGGTTGGATTATCAGAAATACAAAAATACTGGGTCTAAAAGTCAAATAGAGTTTACCTCAAAAACCATCTGTGTCCCCAAATCTGGGACACAGAACCCTACAATATAGTACAAATTATTTTAATCGGTCACAGAAAACCATTTCTAATACAAATTTATACATCTTTGGCCCTTTCTTATTCAAAAAACCAACATGTTTATGGCCTGTAATTAAAGTAGACATGACAACAAAGCCTGAACACATCTCACCTGACAGTTTCTTTTTCAGAATCACCCTGAGATTTCTTAATGTCCTCCATACGCTCCAGAACTTTGTTTGACTGAAGACACAAAGCAACCAGTAATTTAACCAGCTGCAAAGACAGTTCTGAAGAAAGGTGGAAAAAATATTTATACAGCAATATAGATCCAAAATTAAAGGAGCCATAAATCAGTTCATAACCTGTTCTTCTAGTTTCTCCAGCCGTTCAGTTAAGGTGGTAACCCTAAGAAATCACACAAAATAATATGAGTGAGTGAGACTCAGATCAGCTGCATCTGGTCTAATAACATGCTTTTCTCATGTTTTATAACAAACAAATTACATCGTTTACTCAGTTTATGCAACAAAAGACATTATTTACATAGAATAAGCAAAGATTATAAACTGAAGTGATTTTTTATGATGAGTTTGATTGGCCATAAATTGAAAAACACTGGATTTGAGCTTCAAATTAACCCAAACAATAGGCTGTTTTAAAGTCTGGGCCACAGAATCATAAAATATGGGACAAGTTATAAAAAAAAAAAAAATCAATAAAAAATACATACAACCATTTACAATAATTTAAGTGAATATTCTGCTTGGCTTTCATTTAGAATCTCATATTGAAGTATTTAGCCTGGATTTGGCTAGAAGAGAGAGAACTTTCTGCAGGATTGTACTTTTGGGATGAATCCTGGATGCGCCCCTCCATGCTCCGGCTCTTCGCCCGCCATTCAGACAGCATATATCTGTCCCTCATCAAGGCCTCCCAGGACAACAGCTCCTCTTCCTTTTCTGAGCCAAACTCCTCCTCTGAAAAAAAGGTGTGGAGTATTATTTGTATCACCATCATTTTCACATTTGTTTCTATCTGGCTCTTTTCTTCTGAAGAGCCAGAATATCTTGATCAGCAGTTATTTAGGGATGTTTTCTAACAAACAAAAGGTGATTTATAGAGCTTTCAGCTGAAAACTTAGCCATGTAGTGTATGATTAGACAAAGTGTGGATCTGAATCAAGTCTGTGATTGAGTTTTTTTTTTTTCAGACTTTCAGATACTGTTAATTTGCTTTTCTGAATTTCTTTAATCCTGACAATTATTTTTGTTCTTCGCACTCTTCTCAGGTGCTACATCTGGATGGAAAAAAGATTTTAAAATTTTTTAAAAACCTGCTAAAAGACCTTCAGCAAGTCTAGAGATAATAATGGAAGAATAATCCAGTTACTGGAATCAACTAATATTCATATTGAAACAGCCAGTCAGAAACTCTGATGTTTTTTTTTTTCATTATTATTGAACACGTTATGCCTAAAATTCTGACAACAAAATTCTTTTAAGTGTTTGTTATTTTTGTGCGAAGACTCAAGGTTTACTACTTTTGTAACAATATAATAAATGTCAACTTTAAATAAATTTATTGTTGGTTTAAACTTCTAAAACCCTTTTTTGCAGCAACTTCTTTTTCACACAGAGTGGGACATTGTCTCTACTTCTATCTAGATAATTACTAAGTACTCATCTCAGGAAGGCCGGAAAAAATAATTTCAATTTCTGAAGAGAAATTTGAATAAGCTAAATGAGGAATATGCAGTATATATAAAAAGATAAAGGTGGGTTAAACATTTTCCACAGTATAGAAGGAGACAAACATCAAAAGCAACGGATCTGATATCACATCCTGTAAATATCACAGATCTAGAAATCAGGGACTAAGGCCTTACTGAATTCAGTATTTGATGTCTGAGCTCCACACAGCATCATTTTGATGAAAAAGTAGAGATGACTGAAGATGATGAAAGGAGGTGGGGCAGCTGGGTGGCTGTAATACTCTTTGATCAGCTGATATCTTTGAAACTTCCAGATACTATCCGTGTTATCGTGGACCTCCTCAAACGTGTAGCTGTGCAGGCGAAAGATGAACAGATTCATTATGTTGGGAACCAAATTTAAACAAAGGTGTGGCGCTAAGGACTCACTTAAATATGGCTATGAGGAGGTTGAGGAGCAATATGTTGGCAAACAGCAAATAAACACAGAGCATGACGATGGTGAGCCACTCAGGGAAGACCGGCATTTGGTCGTCATTTAGCACAGGACACTTGGGCTTCAGAGGATCCCCCCCATTCATGCTGCATGAATTTATATCAAATTTAGCATCTGCAGGAGACAAAACACAAACTAGAAAACGCTGTGTCAACAAGAAAACATGTCTTTCATTGCCTCATGTAATATTTTCCCAGACATAATAGAACTACACAGTACGCTTCTCCACTCACTGTCAATGTTATCAGGGAAATTTCCAAATATAATGAGATACGGCTCATAAACAGCCCCACGCATGATCCAGTCCAGCCGATTGTCATTATGGATGAGGATGCCTTGTTTGGCCACACCGTACGCCACGACCCAAATGCTCAGCAGAAACATGAAGAAGAACATGTCCCTCATCTGCAGCATAAAATTACATCAGGGGGAAAAAAGACAGAAAAATAATTGACTGCAGGTAAATATCTCCATTTTAATAAATATAAATAAATAATATAAGTTCTTTTGTAGAAAATCACATTTAGAAAATCAGATGCAGAATAAAGGAAACACTGGAAAACACTAACATTTTTAAGGACCTAAGACCCTGCTGACAAAAATGTCTCCAAAGACCACCGCAAGGACTACAGGTTCATAAATGTCATGTTGTGTATTGTTCTACTATTGTTCCCACATTTGATCAGGTTAATTTTCATTCATGCAAACTCCTCACCATCTTCCTAACTATGATGATTTTAGGTCCCAGCGTTCGATTGATTGTGAAGATTGCCATGAGGCGGAGACAGAAGACCACAAAGTCGATGCACAGGATGATTTTACCTGGATAGAACAACTTAGTTGTCAACCTGAGGTAAAAAATATATAAAAGTTGGTCAGTCACAGATTACTGAGTGGCTTGAAAACCTTTCCATGTCTCTCTGAGAGACAGAGAGGGTACCTGAATGCAAGTCCTAGACAGAACAGCACGATGGAGATGACATCCAAAATGTTCCACAGTTCTTGAATGTACACCTTGGCTTTCTCACGAAACCCAAAATGATCAGGATCATAAAACAGCTGAGAGAGAAAACAGAGATTTAAACTGACATGTCAGAATGTTATTGTCATCAGAAATTTATTCTGAATAAGGTTAAATTTGATTGCTAACTTCCAGAGGCTGAATATTATTAGAATTTCTACTTTACATACATCAAATAAAAAGAGACATGCACATTTTGTCCCACCGTCTGAAGTTAAATCTGACCAAATCTTTCTTATTTTAGGTCAATTAGAATAACCCAAATTATTTATATTCCCTAAATGCCAGAAAATTAACAATAAATTTTATAGAGATTTCTTTTTTTGGGTAACTTTCTAGAATTCAAAAGTTTATATAGATTTGGTCAGTTTCAAAAATAACTGTCTTTTGAAATCAATGCCTTGGGTTGAATCTGTTGGGATTCCCTTCACAAACATCTGATAGGTTATCTGACACATCTGAATTAACTGGATACACCTGTGGGCATATTTTGAGGCCACACCTGAAACACACTGCAGTGCACCACTTGAAGGCCAGTTTCCCTCAGTTTTTTATAAGTGTCTCTGTTTCAGCACAATTCTTACAAAGGTTTCAACAGAAATGTGGCCATTGTCAGCACCTCCAAGTTTATTTGCAGTTTTGTTTGAGATAATCTATTATTCAATTTTTCCCCAAGTTGGATATTTATTTTTACATATGTGGTTAAGAGGCGCCACCTGCTGGTATGGCTGCCTCAAACCAGTTTTAAGATGTGCGTTATTGACCAATGTGAGTAGTTCTCAGGTTTTATTGATGGGTCATTAACAGTTCAGATTGCAAATCAACCCACCCAGTTAATGTTGGTAGGTCTGAGTACTTTTTAAGCTGTTGTTCATTTGTATACTATAATTTTGTAAAAAAAAAAAAAAAAAAATGTTATGCTTATCTTAAGTCAATCAGTGTAGTATATTAAAACTTTAAAAGTTTACTTGTGAATTATGGGGCATGCGATCTGAGTTGTAAAACTTCAGAAGTACAGACCAGACATTCTCACACCTTTGAGAAAGTCAATGCAAAGTTGCAGACAATATGATTAATGCATGCTCTCTGCTTTGTGCCCAGTCCAACTAGAAACCAATTAGAAAACCGTCTTTGCTATCACTGTTGCTGGTGTATAAAAAACCTATTACAAGTAAATAAACAAGCAACGCTTGAAAAAGCCAAACCACCATTCATATCATACACTGGGGCAAAACCTAAAGAACAAATAGGTTCTATTTTTAATGGGTTGGCTCGTTTTGCATAATTTTTTTATGTCGCTTATGTGGTCCACATCTAGCCACCATTGTATATCTAACAGAAATGCATCAGATTCATTTATTTTAAAGTGAGTGCTGTTGATTTTTCTCACTGAATAAAAGCATTCAGAGCTGTTATTTTCAGGGTGAGATTTTGGTATTAATAAATGGAATAAATGGGTTGATGCTTCTTTAATTTCATACATCAAGAACCGAGCTGGAGAAAGGGTAATTCTCCAAACAGTGCCCATTATATTTGCAGTGTCTCACCTGTCTTATCTCCTCCGACACCAGAGTGAACAACCAGATGTAGAGCACCAACTCCACTATAGATGGTGTACTCTGGAAGTCGACCATCAGGACGTAAGCAAACAGGAACAGGAAGGCAAAGTACGAGATGATGCTTCCATAAAACTTGACCTGAGGAGCGCTGTACAGTCCAATCAGTCTGGACCAGCAGTTCAGAGGCTTCATATTCTGCTCACTGTGGGCAGAAACATCAACATCAATGAAACTCATTTCATCAAGAATTGTTGTTTATAAAGAAGGAAAAATTTCACTCATAATATACAATTTCTACAACTCAGAGTGTTGTACAAGATTTGACAGCAAATGTTAAATAGGCCTTTAATTGAATCAATCAGAGATTGTCCTCTCACGAGCTTTTTATCTCTTCCTCCACAGTCATTTCTATCTCCTCTCTCAGCTCGATTTCTCTCTGGAGGACTTCATCACATCTAAAAAGGAAAAACAGATATGAATGTGGAAAATATGGAAATGCAATGCTTTACAGCTTCCAGTTTTTATTTCTACAATCACTCCCAGTAATATTTCACCTGAAAGCCAGAAACTTGGTGTAGATCAGAGGGAAGAAGATCATGCAGATCAGCACCCTCCACACAGGATTGTGGACTGACAGCTCACCACACCAGATCTGAGTAAGAAGATCCTAAAGCATAAAGGTTTTATCAACAAGTTTGTATAACTTATGGGTATAAGATGACAGGCTGTCTTTGGCTCTCTTAAAATGATCTTAAAAACTGCAGCAAACAGAAATGAGGGATGACGAGACTTTTGAACATCACTTTGTGGGTCTGTTTTAATGATGTTTCACATTATAGCCACAAACTATTTCTTAAGATTGTAGGTAGATACGAAGTTGTCTTACTGGTAGATGTATGGGGCCTTACATTGTTTGAAGGAAAAAATAAACTTTCTTGTGCACAGAAAAGTTTTTTTCTTTCTTTCAATCTCTCTACAGGGGCTGCTGCATACAGGAGGACTTACAGCCCCGTATCAGAACTTTTTCAAAGATATCCCTGAATTATGTTCTATCCATCTCCCCATTATTTTGCTGTTAATAAAAATAAAATAAAAACTAACCCACAGCATGTGTTACCATCACTGTGTTTCTAGGTCAGAATGATGACTTCAGGGTGAGGTGCAGTGTTAGTTTATACACATGCACATTTGCACAATGGCAAGAAGGTTAAGTATTTGTCTCATAAGAGGACCTTCTGCCATATATTTCCAGTATTCAGATTACACACAGATTGACTCTGCTTACTAATTAGGTGACTCTTAAGGCAATTATTTAGACTGGATTTTATCTAGGGTCATTAGAATGGATTTGTATACAGTGTTTTTCAGATTATTATATGTAAACAAAAGGAACTTCCTTTTGTTTGAAATGTCCCTACAGTTAATAATCATAAAATCTAAATAAAAACCTGCTTCACCTGAAAGCCTAACTCAGCCACAAATTTTTTATTGTCGGCCTCAAGTGCCAGCCTCAGACACGTTGTATTGCCCCAAAGGCGTGAGTTTCGAACCAGCAGCTTCTGGGCACGCTCCTCATCATTCTTGTAACACTCGCTGAACACGCCTGAAGAAAACACATGCAGGTCAATAAATACCAGCTCCATCTGTATATGTTCTCTTTACCTATGTCTCATACCAATCGCACGATCTTCAAAGTACTTGGCGAGCGCCAGCATTTCCTGAGGCTCGTCTGCATCGATTGACTCCTCTGCCATTTTCTTCAGGATCTTACTGGCAGCCAGAGCAGCAGATATGCAGTCTCTGCACTGAGCGCACACACAGAAATACAGAGTTACACACATAAACCACTTTGACGACACTTTCATTTTACATATACAAGAGTTTTCAATCACCTGATCCCAGGCGATTATAGACAGCTCCTTGTTGTTCTGGACAACTGCCCAAAGGAAAAGATCTCTGGCTGCATTATTCTTATCTTCATTTTCCATCTGATCTTCAGCTTTATGTCCCTTAAAAAAATTCAGCGATTAGATTCTTTTGGGGTTCAGTAGTCAGCCATGGACCTGAAGTTTGGATGGGAATCTTCATAACTGGATAGTTTATTTCCCTTTTACTGTAATGGGATTCCTCCTGTTTCCTCCTGTTTCATTTCCAATTTGAATATTTACATTTTTGCAACTAAATATTCAAGTAGCTGCAACGTAAGTGTCTTTTAACTATTTTTTAGTAATTTATGACTCTGTTTCCATTGGAAATGTAAATTTTTTTCTTCCACGCACATCTCAGTCTCCAGACGTAGCAACCTGAAAGTACACTGTTCTGTGCTGTGGGGAATAACAAGACATATAATGATGAATCCCAGGACCCATTGCAGGGTGGAGGCAGACAGATGAAATTCAACAATTTACTTAAAATAAACAATGAAAATAAATGATAAAAGTTAGCATTCAGCAATGAATCCAAAAATAGTGCAATGGAAACCAGTTGGTGTTATGTGATGACTACAGGATGATCTGACCAAGAGCTCACTGTCTGACTCAAATTGTCTGATTTGTGCAGGAAAGCTATGTTGTGTCCCCAGCTATGCAAGACTGAAATTGCAGGAGGCTGGTATGACTACTTTTTACGTGGGTCAAGTCAGTAATGCAATAACTTGACTGACTTGAGTGTTCCAGTCCTGCCATTTCCTAGACATTGTGAAAATTACACAAAGAAGCACAATTTTAATTCAGTGTTTCACATCTAATCCCTGTGTTAGAAATGTATAAAATATATCAAGTTGCACTGCCTAGATATATTTATCACTATAAAGGCCTTCTCAGAAATATTGTTAAGAAATTACACAAAAAACAGTTACTATGTGTGGTACCAGGACCACATGCTGAACCAACTCTCTCGGCATCCATGTTTCTCTCAATGGTGGGCTATTCTGGGTAATCAGAATCAGAAGTGATTGCATGTTTTATTATTATTATTATTATTATTATTATTATGAAGCATTAAATGAGAAAAAACTTATCCTGACCCTTACATCTAATTTAATCTGTGATGTTTTTCTTGCAGAAAGATGTTGTACAAGCTATTAGCAACAGAGAGGCCTTGATATTTGAGTCATTTTATGAAAAACAATTACTTGTCATTGTAGGATTTTGCTTCTACCCATTTAATAAAGTTCAGAATAGAACATACTCACATCCGGTCTGTCCTCTATCCGAATATGTTGTTCATCCTTGGAGGACGGATAGATGGGCTTTGTGAATATCCCAAGCAGGTGGTGCACTTCAACAGAGACATGTGTCAGGGAGATTTCTTTTTTTGCTTCATCAAGATCCTCCAGTGCCTTCTTCATGCTGCTGCTGGTCCATTTCTTGCTCTTGCTCCTGTTTTTGCCGATTTTAATTTTCTTGACCAGCTTGTACAAAAAAGAGCAGTTGGGCAAGGCTTTGTAGAGATCACAAATCATCTCGCCTTTCAGAAAGTCCTCCAGACACACACCGTTCTCCAGGAGCAGACTCACAAAATCAGGCTTTTGGTTAACCAGGGCTAAATGCATGAACTTGTGGAGTTCATTTGACTAAAGAAAGAATAGAAGAATCTTGTTAGGTTGGTGGAAACAAAGAAGTATCTTCAAGGATACATATGGAATCTTACAAGCTCATCATTGTGAAATATTTTTCATTCTCTGCTCAATAAAATAACTTATTTAGCTGTGATTTTTTTTCCCAGTTTTATTAATTGTTGAATCATTTTTAATTAATTCCAGCAGTTTTTATTTAAATTGTCTTTTTACAAAGTCAGGTTTTTATCATAATCATGAATGATTTATTTCATAATGAATCTTAAACTTAATAACTGTGCATGTCAATCTGTGTCAATTGGAGGGACCAGCACATTCTTTGGCTGGTCCTTAAACATCTTTTTTTTTTTCTCAGTCTCTCTTTCCCCTCATCTCTTGGCACCGCTGGACAGAAGTTCCAGGGGCAACTTGGGAGAGAGGGGGCTCCAGTGGGGTGGTTCGCCCAATGCACCAAACAGGCTAGGAACGCCTCTGCATGGAAGGGCAGGTTTAGGTGAGTGTATGGAGGGGAGGGGGAAAAATTACAAAACTATGGTGTACTGGTAGCTAGTAGAGACTTTTAAATCCAGAAAATATATATACTGTAAATAAAGCCATGACAGAAAGTCACTTTTTTTGTCCAGTGGAAAGAGAGCAGGTTCTCTAGTACCACCTAGTGTCAATCTGTGAATGTTTCTATGTGCTACTACTTAAATCTTACAAAAAAAATTAAGTAAGATTTTATAATCCACAGTGCTCCGAAACAAACTCACCTTCCACATCCTTTCCTCGGTGAAAATCTTAGTCTCAGCTGAATCGACTCTGTTCCAGGTGATAGCCAGCTCCAGATGCTTCTCCCAGGACATATTATCTTGTGAGTTAGCAGTCTTGAAAGCTAGAAGATACACTTACTGATAAATGTCTTCAGGATATCTACAGAAATCCCACTTATTAGCTTTTACTTAAGGCAAATAAGTTTAAGAACACAAAGCACTAAAATACTTTTGGCTGAGATAAACAGAAATCCCATAGACATAAATTGGTGATGTCCACAAGTAGCTAAGTAAGCAGAACAATTATCCGATGATATATAAACAGAAGAAAATGTATCAATGGAAACTTGAAACACAGCATTTCAAACAGTTGAATCATCATAATATGAGCATTAACAGGTTTCAGTGATATAGACTCACACTGTTTTAGTGTGCAAGGCGCCATAGTTACCTTTTAGAAGAGCATCAAGGATTGCCACATCCAAAAACCCCTGATCATCTTTCCTTGCTCTGAATATTGTCAGCAAATCAGACTTCTCAACTATCTTATGAATCTGGAAACAGAGCAGACAAATGTATAAACCCACAGTGCTGTTTTACATTTTGAATATGCCCCGCAAGGGCAGGATTGCTTATTTTATACCTGAAGGACAAAGTTGTACCAAGACATACCTCTGCAACTGATAGGAAAATTCAACTGCATACAAACCATTTGACCAAAGAGGCCAATGGTGAGATGGTTTTTAGTCCAAATAATGCCAAACAATCTGACCCACAACAAAACCACCACAGTATACCACTACATATCATGGACTGGACCATCATCACTTCACTAACCATATTTTTCCAGTTTTCAATCTGGTCATCTTTGATGTTTTTGTACTCTTCTCCAAAAAACTTCTCAGTCAGCTCCTTGATGCGAGCGGTGGTGATCTCACTGACTGGGAATCCGGATGCATGAGCGATAACATCTGCTATCCTCCCAGAGCCCTGCAGGATCACGCACGGTGTGCCCTTTTCAATAGCACTGCAGATGGTCTGAGAGGAGACACAGATAAGAGAGGTCAGTTCACTAGAAACTCAAAGATTAAAAGAAGACATAGGAATCTGTTGACTCACTTTCAGTGTACCTCCTCCTCCATCCAACACCACACAAACCACTTGGGTTTTTATATCAGTCACTGGAGGATAAATAATAAAAACAATTATTTACAGTTATTAATAATTAGGGATCAAAGCTGGAGGAAACCAATAGATGACCAATGGAAAACATGGCCATTTTCCTGCCCTTCTGTAATAGTACGTATTTTATTACTATTATTAATAATATTCACATTATTCTCTTTCATTTGGACACATAGGTCAAAAGACACAAGAAATAAATAATATAGCAGTCTAATTGAAAAACCTCACTGATAATTAAAAAAGTGCAAAATTTTAATATATCATATTTATGTGGGGATAAGAGAACATTTGGAAAAAAATTTACTTACATTTTGGGGGTTATAACTTGGAAGCTTTGGAAAGCTGATGAATTGTAGAGTTTTTATAAATATTTACTTGGTGTTAGCATTTTTTTTTTCAAATGAAACCCACTGAATTTTCTAACATTGAAACATTGATTCCACAAAGACTGTATTATCTGAGAATATTTTGTACTTTTTTTATGTATTAAGGATTTTCTATAAATTTAATAACTTGGCTCTCTGTGACAAAAAGGCAATTAACAATTTTCTATTGAAAAAGCATTTCAGCTAGGAACATTTAGATAAATGCAAATTATTCCAGATGTGGACTTGATCGACTGAGAACATTTTGGGAATTAGATGATGAATTACTGACATTTTTTGAAATTAAGATCTGTATGATTTAAAGAGGAAGACATTTTTATTTATTTTTTTAGCAAATAAAGTATTATTATTATTATTATTAGTAGTAGTAGTAGTATTTAATAATGAAGATTAATCTTCTTTAAACCTTCGGTAGGAGTTTGGTCTGAAATGTACTGCTCTAGTTCCGTGCGCAGCTGAATCTCTGCACCATAGGCCTTTGTATCTCTGGTCCCATCATCAACCAGCAGGAGGTGGGAATGATTGCCGTCAAGACAGGCCAGATCACCCTGACCTTGTGTGTCAATCACATAATGAGCTGGAAAGCAACCCTGCAGACAAACACAATAAAAAGTATGAAGGAAACATACAAATCTCTTCACAGGCATGATGTAAAGTGTGTGTTCAACTTACTTCTTTATTTACCAATGTATCCCTGTTGTGAATTGCTCCCCAGGGTGCCACTCCAATAGCCACTATTTTCTGCTGCATTGAGTTATCCAGGGCACAGTCCCTCACAGCCTGTCCCACATGCTTCATCACACCCACGTGGGTACCGCCGGTAATGATCCATGCACCTATAGGTGATGAAGTATCACCGTGTGTGTTTCTGGCAGATATTAATCGGACCTATGTCTAATTTACTGTCTGTTTCACCTGTAGTCTGAGCAACTTTGATCAATCCTCTGTGAAAAGTCTTCTTCAGGTGGGACTTCAGGTAGAAGTTACTGGCTCCTCCAGTCACTGAGATGACCAGATTGGGAGGTGGAAGTTTCCACTGTTTTGTCAGTAACTCGTAGAGCACTTCAGGTTTGGTGTCTGTAGACACTCGTACATACTGGTAATGAGCAAACAAGACGTGGCATAAGAATGCACAGGTGTACATTTACAGTGTTTTATAAAAGTATTTATACCCAATGAAGTTTTTCAAAAAGAAAATTATAATAATTCTATTAGAATTTTATGCAATATACCAACACAAAGTAGCTTATAATTGTGAAGTGGCAGGAAAATAATACATTTTCTAACAAAAAAAAAAACAATGTGCATTTACACATTGTGTATTAAGACCATATGACAAATCATATTAGATTACGATTTTTCCCTCATATTATACATATAAATGCCCCATCATGACAATGTGAAAAAAGTTTTTCGGTTTCTTGTAAATGTAATAAAAATAGAAAACCAATAAATTACTTTTGTGTGAGTATTTATGGCCTTTGCCATGAAGCTTAAAATGAAGCTGCTTCCATTGATAGTACTTGAAATGTTTCGACAGGTTTAATGGAGTCCAGCTGTGGCAAATTCAGTTGATTGGACTTGATTTAGAAAGGCATGTCTATAAAAAGTCCCTCTGCAGGTCAGAGGTCAAACACCAAGCATTAAATCAAAGGAATTGTCTGTATACCTCAGACAGAGAATTAATTGTCTTAAGGCACAAATCTGGGAGGTGATCAAGAACCTGATGGCCTCTCTGTCAGAGCTCCACTGTTCCTCTGCATAAGGAGGATAACCTCCAGGAAGTACAACCATCTCTGCAGTAATCCACCATTCAAGCCTGCGTGGTAGAGTGCCATGCAGGTCTCCATGATACTAAAGTCATCCTTTAATAAAAGACAAAAGAAACCTGAAGGATTCTGATAACATGAGAATCAACATTTTCTGGTCTGAAGAGACAAAGATGGAACTCTAAAGTGTGAATGCCAGGCATCATGTGCATCAGGCACGGCTCATCATCAGATCAATTCCATTCCTGGCGTGAAGCATGGAGATGGCACAATCATGCAATGGGATAGCAAATTTTACAGCAGAAGGAATTGGCACACTAAACAGAATAAAGAGAAAAATGAATGTAGCAATGACCAGGGACATCCTGGATGAAAATCTGAGGTCAACATCTTGAATTCATAATTTGTCGGCAGGACAACAACCCAAATCAGTTGGTCAAGATCTCTAAGAGCAATGTTTATATATTACTTAAAAATAAATCATTTATATAATTAGGTTGATAAAAATATCAATTTAATAAGCCAGTTACTCAACAGTAATAGTGAGTGGAAAACTTATGAACGTTTTACGGACAACAATGACATAAAAATATCTCAAAAATATTTTGAATAGGTTGTTAAATTTGTTCATAATTTACATGCCAAAGCACAAAATTTACAGCAACTGGAAAAAAAAAATAGCAGCTCCACTTAATATGGTATGATGTAAAGAAATTCACAAAACAATCAGTTACATCATTACAGTTCACTCCAGAATGAGGAAACTGAGATTTTACGCCTAGAAGAACAAATTCTATATTTAGTCAATGATCAATGGATCATAAATGGAAGAGGCAAAATTTCATTTATGGATCCCGTTTGATTTGTGTCAAACAGATTCAGCTTACATGATGTCTTTAAAAGGACTTACACAGAAATTTACATACGGTAGAAGATACTTATTTAAATGTCTTCAGCTCAGAAGCTACATTAGGATAAAAAAACAATGAGTTAACCAAAATCCCATCGAGAAGAAATGGTCTGCAAAGACAGCTCAAGTAAAATTGCAATTTCAGAATTTTATGATCTCATACTTTTAAATTCCCCAGAAGACTCAACACTCAAATTGAAAACTTAGATGTAAGGTTACTGCAGTACAAATGCTTAATGCAAATCTATATTACATGAGTCAATTCAAATAGGTATAATTTTAATATACCAGACATATACACCAAATGCTTAGAAGAAAAAGGGACACTATTTCATTGTACTTGTGAATGGAGAGAAATTGCTCTTTTCTGGATGAAAACAACAGGACCAAATAACAAGCGATGGATCAGACAAATACTGCAGAGGTGTTATCATTCATCATGTGTATTGTGACATAATAATATTACCTTTAATCTGAGATTAACCTTGATTTACCTTGCTACTCTTTGGCCAAGAAATATCAAAACAGATGTCTCCAAAAGCATCTGTTGGCACCTCGTGTACGTCTTCGTCTTCATTATAGTTATGCTTATTGAAGCCCTCTGGCTGGCTGGAGTCAACCTCAGAATTTTCATAACAACATACTTCCTTGTTGCTGTAAAAAATACAAATATAAATTGCATAATATCACATGTTTATGTTAGTAGAAAAAGTTTAGACTTGTGCCCTTTATGGGAAAGGATACCAATCCTTTATAACCCCGATTTGCCTTTGTATTTCAGACTGTTGGACTGATCTTATTTCTCATGCACGAAGCAATTTTTCTCACCACTCCATGTTTAAGCAGGTAAATTAACATCTAAAAAGCTAATGGAGTTTGGTTGTAAAGTTAAAAGATTGCCAGAACTGAACATGGTTCATCACATATATTAAACAAATGGCTAAGTTTTAATTGCTTTTTTGACAACACAAAGCACTACAGTTCTGTAGATGTTGGTATTTCAGAGTATTTTAACTGGAATCACAGTAGGCTCAAAATGAGAAATAACTGCAGTCAGAGAAGTTTCCTCTCAATATTTGCGAAATGTGCAGAAGCTAGAAGCACAGCTTAAGGAGTGGCAAATCATCCTACCTGGCATCCTTCTTAAGAGGGCAGCTTTCCTTTTTTGTTATGTTGTTCTTTATCCACGTGGAAATTTGCTGGAAAGACGTAATAGACAGATGTTTAGGTGCTGTTTTGATTGCCAGAGTATGAAACAAATGTGAATGAATCTCATCTCCCTTCATCCTGCTACAATGCAATGATTGGTCGTGATCAGATTGTGGCAAACTGTCAACTCTGCATAATTTTTTTTTTTTCACCGTCTTTCTTTTAACATGATAGACAATAAAAAACTAGCCTTTGAGGTCTTTCATCCTCAAAGAAGGGAGATCTCTTCTTGACCCAAGAGAATGCAAGACAGTTCTCTTGGGATGATAACTGTTCAATAATATTTTGGATAGTTCTCAAACCAATCTCAGTAGTTTCTGCTGACCCTATCAACCTGGGTGAGAGCTTATGTAGTGGTCCTGAACTCCTGCAGGTCCCCCAATCATCCCACCAATATATTTATACATAAACTCAACAATGTTTTTTCTGTTTGTTTATAAAAAATAAATATTAACCAAACCATAAATTACCTATAAACTGAAACTATTGGAAATATTCAGACCTGGTTGGATACAGAAGAAGAGCAAGATGATGTTGCAGGAAGTCCTGGGGTGACATTTAAAGGCATCGATTCATCTGAAGAGAAAAAGAGGAGCATGAGTCCAGGAATAAAATAAAAAACATAAGAAATGTGTTATGTACAGTGTGTTTACTGTACAAGTAACATACACAATGAATTTGCTGAAATGCAATTAATATCAGATTGAAATTACCGCTGTGAAATTAAATAGAGCAATAAACTTCAATACTATCTGCGACACACCAAACTAGGAATAAGTCACTTCAAATTTGTTCCCAGAAACAAGTTGCTTGTTCCTCGGAACACAATGTTTCTCCACAACATTATATGATACAGAACGCTACTACTTGCATTCTCACTAAAACCAGGAAGATAGAGCACATTGTCCCAGTTCTAAGGTCCCTTCACTAGCCCCCAGTATGTCCTTTAAAATACTGTTAGTTTATAAAACAGCTTAGCACCAAAATAGACTAAAGATCTGTTACTGTATGAACCTTCCAGACCTCTCTGGTCTTCTGGTTCAAGGCTGCTCTGCATCCCCAGAGCCAAACATAGAGAAGCAGCATTCAGTTTCTATGCACCACAAATCTGAAACAAACTTTCAAAAAACTCCAAAAAAGCTGAAATACTGAGTTCCTTTAAATCAATACTGAAAACACACCTGTTTAATGTTGTCTTTGATTCATAATACCTGGAACATTTATCAAGATATTTGATGTGCAGTTGTTTGATGATTTTTATGATGGGATGTGACAAGATATAGAATTTATTGCTTGTTAAGAAATTGGTGAATGTCCTATGTTTTGTAATGTAAAGCTCTTTGAACTTCCTTGTTGCCGAAATGTGATATACAAATGAATCTGAATTTACTTTCCAGTCATACATGTCGATACTCAACCCTGGAGGAGGGGCTTGGAAAAGAATGTAGTAGAACAGTCGTTATCAAAGCAAAGTATGATCAGGTTTCAGGACAATTTTTTGAAAGTTTTAGGACTGTTTTTTTTGCTAATCTTGCTTGTAGAGTGCACACAGCATTCATGGTCATATCTTCCTCAGTTTTCATTTCTATGTGTTTCACATCATTGTAAAGCTTAGAATCCACACTTTTTGAGTCTATAAAAACTCTAAGCCCCCAGGGAAGACTTGTTCCCGGTGTTAGTCATACATGGGAGTGCAGTGATGATGTTAAGTTGATATTAATCTTTACTTATGGAGTGAGTTTGCACAACTGACTTGTTTTTGCAAATCTACAGTCATGCTTCATTGTTCCCCTTGAAGACATTGGTATTTACTCAGTTTTCATTATCACTTTCTCCACAGAGCAGAAGAAACCTCTTGCAAACTGTGGAAGCCATTTCTCATTAGTTTGACACATATTACCCTCCTTTTTCCACAACAGATGTCATTAAACCACTCCAAACACAATTTTTCTCACTATGGTAGCCAAACAGAAATCACCTGTTCCTAAGTATTAGAAACTACATAGATTAGTATGAAACCAGCTTGGATGGAGGAGATCCCAGGCAGATGGGAATGAGAGTCAATACCACTTATACATATTGTGTAATAGATATTATTTTCTTAATTTCTTATTTTCCAATATTATTTTTGGTTTTCATTTACAGTATTTTCTGCAATACTCACAGTATTTCAGTTTTCAGCTCAGTTTGAAATAAAAGAAAGAATGGAATCAATGAAATAAGTATCAAAGCATGATGGTGTGAGGGTGGAGAGCATGAGCCTTCTTCAGAGGCCTGAAGTCTGCCATCATAGGTTCAGGTCCCAGCCTGTTGAGCTTTGATGCAACAGGCTCAACAGGCTGTTGCATCAAACAAATCAATATATGTCTGCATATATTAACCCATCTTCCTGTCACTTTACAGATAAAGGCAGTAAACATTAAACAAAAGGGCCTAAAGAAAGTCGACCATTAAAGAAATAATAAAGTCTTGTCCAGTTTGTGTTTTCAGTATCTTGAGAAATATGCACCAGCTCTCTTTTAGGAAGCTAGTTGAGCCAAATTATTCCTACTCCAATTCCCCCCCCCCCCCCCCCCCCAAAAAAAAAATGAAGGCAACAGGCAATCCCATCACATTATAACATTTGTTTTACTGTACCTTTGTATTTTTCTTTGTTTCTTCTGTTTTTCTTTGTTCCTCCTTGGGCATCAGACATTGTGCTTATATCACATTCTGACATGATTCTTTCTGAAGAAAGAACATGCCTTACAAAACTTGTCCGCCCACAGAGTAATTTAACCTGAGAGGAGTGAGGGGAGGGAGACACACACCAAGGTACACACCAAGTAGTCGAGAAGTAGGGGGGAACTAGGAAAGATATTATTATTAGATGTAATATTTAATATTAATTGTCATGCAGCTAAATACCTACATAATTTTTAATATCAGGAAACGACTTCTACCTATGCTAAGGGTCCCAACAGTCCAGTGGGTGCCATATACAGGGGAGAGAATAAAAAAAAAAATTAAAAAAAACTTTCAGTATTTTTTTTTTTTAGTCTACTGAGTAATAATATGATTTCCAAATATAATAGATTCTGCACTAATTTATATTAAATTCTCCATCCAGGTACCCCATCATTCCCTACTATTTGGTTTATGCCCGTTGTTCACACTCCTCTTACTCCTCTTCCCCTCGCTACTCTCATGTGTTGCATTCTGACAACCGGGACAAGTTGAGTGAGTGTTGTAAGAAAAGTGACTTCTGAAAGCATCGTGTCAAGTCGATTCAAATCGTCTGATGGCCAAGTAAAAAAAAAGAACAACAACAAAAAAACAAAACAAAGAAAAAGAGCAAAAAAGTGACACTCACACTCCACTCTTTCTGTGTCGTCCCTAACATGTGCTCGGTGGAGTCCAGCATTTTATTAAACTGAGTCTATGTTTTAATTGTATTTCTGTTCCAAAATTGGTTTGTATTTTGCACTGCATCATTGGACATTACAGTTTTCACACATAAATAATAAGGTTCAATGAGTAAATAGAACTCAGGTCTGAGCAGGCTGTAACCAGCAAAGACATGTAAGCCAAGAATAGCTTTTTTCAACTTGAACATGTTTTTTATCTGCAGAAACATGTTCTGAGGACACAGAATATTCCTCATCAGTGATAATGTGACCTAAAAATGAATAAAACATTTCAATACACAAATTGACAGATTCTGTCTTTTTTCTTTTATTTTGCTTCATTTTGAGGTTGTATTACACATAAGGTTATCCTCAGCAACAACAGTGCAGTACCTTTAGACAATTGGAGAGAATCTAAACTGGATTTCAGTTCAGCATTATAGATTGCATAATAACTCTGAAAATCAGGTAAATGTCCAAGTTTGGAACTAAAAAAAAAATTCTAAGCTGAAAGTCATGGTCAAAGAAAATGCGTTCAAAAAGTCAATCATAGAATAACATCTGGCATAAAATGGAATTTGAGACAAAACCAAAGCTTGAGATTGTATATTAGCATTCCCTATATATTTTAAATGTCTGCATATATTAAAAAATATGTATACTATATATTCATTTTAAATTATCTGTTCTTTTTTGCTCACTGAACTGATTGCACAGAGTTACCATACCATCATGATGAGGTCATAATATGCCATCTGTCAGCTTTCATACCATATTTTTGAAATAGCTTCAGAGCACACTGTTTGTTGTCCGAGTAGAAAGGACATTCTCCATTCCTTTTCCTGGCAGTTTCATGATTTATGCATCCTGTGCACATCATGTCCTTCACATACATTCTGTCACTGTAAAGGTACAGATGTCAATCACTGTGTTGAAGACGAACAATGACATTTCAAATATTTTTTTTACATACCTGTTGCTTCTTGAGCAGGAAGATTCTGTCCGGACTGATTTTTTGAGTCATGTCAATTGGTTCTAAGGAATAGATTCCTATCTGTACCTGTTGATACCAACAGAACACAGACTTGGACAGAGTTCATACCTGTGAAGATTCCAGAGAAAAAAGCCTACTGGCAACATGGCAGATGGCCAAAGTAAGTAAGTTCCTCATGACACAACACCAGCCAGGGGAAACTGACAATCACGCAACAGGTAATTGCAGCTTTGTGTTTCATGACTGAAATCTCTTACACAAGGGATTGCTTTGGCCTTTTAAAATTAAGCTTACTGATTTCAAAGTAAGAGTCACATTGTTCTTTACTTACTCTCTACATAGTAAGCTGAGAAAAGAGTACATTGGAATATTGGCTTTGGGCATGTGTGCTTGTGATAGCACACGTTCTACTAGTACAGTCAACATGCTATATATAATAGCCCATATGTTAAAGGTATCATTTACAGTCGTATAAAAAAGTTTGGGCACCCCTATTAATCTAAATTATTTTCATCTCTAAATATTTGGATGTTTGCAATAACTATTTCAGTTTGATATAACCAATACCTTATGGACACAGTAACATTTCAATACTGAAATGAGGTTTATTGGACTAAAAGAAAATGTGCAGTACACATAAACACAAAATTTGACAAGTGCAAAAATATGGGGACCTCAACAGAAAAGCGACATTAATATTTAGTAGATCCTCCTTTTGCAACAATAACAGCCTCTAGTCGCTTCCGGTAGCTTCTAATGAGATCCTGGATCCTGGATGAAGGTATTTTTGACCATTCTTCTTTGCAAAACAATTCCAGTTCAGTTAAGTCTGATGGTCGCTGAGCATGGACAGCCCGCTTCAAATCACCCCACAGATGTTCAATAATATTCAGGTCTGGGGATTGGGATGGCCGTTCCAGAACATTGTAATTCTTCCTCTGCATGAATGCCTGAGTAGATTTGGAGCGGTGTTTTGGATCTTTGTCTTGCTGAAATATCCATCCCCGGCGTAGCTTCAACTTCATAACTGATTCTTGAACATTAGTCTCAAGAATCTGTTGATATTGAGTGGAATCCATTGACCCTCAACTTTAACAATATTCCCAGTACCGGCATTGGCCACACAGCCCCAAAGCATGATGGAACCTCCACCAAATTTCACAGTGGGTAGCAAGTGTTTTTCTTGGAACGCTGTGTTTTTTTTACCGCCATGCATAACGCCTTTTTTTATGACCAAACAACTCAATCTTTGTTTCATCAGTCCACAGGACCTTATTCCAAAATGAAGCTGGCTTGTCCAAATGTGCTTTTGCAGACCTCAAGCGACTCTGTTTGTGGCGTGCTTGCAGAAAAGGCTTCCGTCACATCACTCTCCCATACAGCTTCTCTTTGTGCAAAGTGCGCTGAATTGTTGAACGATGCACAGTGACACCATCTGCAGCAAGATGATGCTGCAGGTCTTTGGAGGTGGTCTGTGGGTTGTCCTTCACAGTTCTCACCATTCTTCTTCTCTGCCTCTCTGATATTTTTCTTGAACTGCCACTTCTGGATTTAACATGTACTGTCCCTGTGGTCTTCCATTTCCTTACTATGTTCCTCACAGTGGAAACTGACAGTTTAAATCTCTGAGATAACTTTTTGTATCCTTCCCCTAAACAACTGTGTTGAACAATCTTTGTTTTTAGATCATTTGAGAGTTGTTTTGATGTGCCCATGATGCCACTCTTCATAGGAGATCCAGACTGGAGAACAACTTGCAATCAGCCACCTTAAATACCTTTTCTCATGATTGGATACACCTGGCTATGAAGTTCAAAGCTTAATGAGGTTGTCAAACCAATTTTGTGTTTCAGTAAGACAGTGAAAAGTAGTTAGGAGTATTCAAATCAATTAAATAATAAGGGTACCCAAATTTTTGCACCTGTCAAATTTTGTTTTTATGCATATTGCCCATTTTCTATTAGTACAATAAACCTCATTTCAGTACTGAAATATAACTGTGTACATCAGTTATTAGATATATCAAACTGAGATAGCTGTTGCAAACACCCAAATATTTAGAAATAAAAATAATAAAGATTAATGGGGGTGCCCAAACTTTTTCATATGACTGTAAGTTAACATAAGCTTTTTACCTAATTTTTATATAGACATGTTAGGGTTAACATCAGGAAAGGTGGGGCACAACACTGGAGAGCAAAAAGACTATTTGCCATCTAAAGTTGCGCTAACTTTGGATGGCACTATTTTGTTAATTAAATGAAACCTGGAGGTGTAGGTATTATTAATTTAGTTCAGTGCCCCACAAAAAAGAAGTAGAATAATGCAGAAAAATGCTAAATATACCCAGTGCAGCTACTACAAAGTCAGTTGCCAAAGAAACTTACTGACAACAGCTCCATTCGCTGAGAGAGCAGAGATCATATTCTAGTGTATCAGGATTTGAACACCAAAAAACTTTCAAGCACAGAGCATAATTATCAGTCTGCTACAGTATTATGTTTTCAGGCTTAAGTTTCATTTTACAATTATCAAAAGGTGATCATCTGAACACAGCTGTAGTTGATTAGCTAATTTAAACAGAGCCCCACTCATAATCCGTCAGAATATGCCCTTTTTTTCAACAGAACCGAAACGCAGCAAATTCTGTACCACTGACCACGTCCAGATTGTTCAAATCAAGCAAAGTTTAAGCTAATGTTAGCATTTTAACTAATATTAGCTCACACATCAAGGTTTGCATACTGAATGGAATGAGTCAATGTTAGTAAATACCCCAGATGGTAATGACTACATTTAAGTTAACCTTGTTGCTAATTTTCATCATCAGGATTCTAGATTTTAACCGATATACACACTTTGGCAGACCTCTTTTAAATCTCCTCAGAAAATTTTGAGTTTCACGTTCATCCTTCTTACCCACTGCCATATGTAACTGAATAATGGAGCAAACAGAGCAAATGCTTCCCCATTTTTAAAAAAGTGCATACTTATTTCTTAGGCAGCCAATGTTTGACTCCAGAAATATGAGCAGCTCCAGTATGCTGACATATACTTTTTATTAACTTCTCTTATTCATACTTTAATAGGAGAAACTAAAAAGAAAGTGTTTTTTAATATTTTAATCCAAACCCATTCATATTTGTACAACGTGGTATAAACCATAAATTACAGTGGTTCATCTCAATACTTTTTAGTGTTATAACAGTCCTGCGTCTCTTTCACTCACTGTAATTCAAAGAAAATGCAACAGAAAATGACTTAATTCAGATGAAGACTGTTTTGCTTCCCAGCCTCCTGCAACAACTTGCCCACACAGTGAATACCGTCTGTCTGATGCTCTTAGATGTAGCAGTAAGTGTTTTCCA